AAGTTTTTTCGGTAAGGACTCGCGGGAATTTCTAGTGGAAAGTGGAAGCTCTCCTGTGATTGTTTATATTAAACGTTTTTGTCCTAATGGTAACCAGTGGCGGACTTAGGGGAGGGGCCCAGGGGGCGAAAACACGTTAGCCTCGAGGGGCCGAACGTTGTTTGGGCTCCCACCTCAATTTAAGCCCTAAGGACCGGAAAAAATTTGCAGTCCCCCCGTTATAAAGAGATCTCGAACTACCATTGATAGTGTATCCAGTGGTGACGTTGTGACAAGAAGAATGATCTCTCTGCTTAACAATCTTTTTGACCTCTTCACGGGTCGTTTAGTGGTATGGTAGTCCAGAATTTTAGAGCTAGTAAAGTAATGATATATGATTCCCATAATTTGGTAAATTTAAAAATGCACCTCTATCACATACTTAATACGAAAACTGATCCTCTATCCCAGAAGGCCCACTCATCCTATTTATTTGATCGTTTCGAAACATAATGAACGTTCAGGTTTGAGACCAGTTTGCACGCGACAAAGTAATATACCCTATTTCATTTAAATCACTAGCTATGACAGAGTATCTCATCGCTTAATAAATTCTCTCTTCGTCCTTGGTAAAAAAGGTTGCGTCTAAGTCTTACCTTACAAATCCAGATCTTCGCCCAACGCGGAACACTAATTTATTTCCTTTGCGAACGAGATTCCTCCAGCGACGATAGAATCTGAAGCGTAAAACACACCTTCCGCGCCTTCTTCTCTGCCTTCTTCTTCTCCTTCTCCTTCGTCTCCTTCTTATCCTTCGCCGTTTTCGTCTCCTTGTTCTTCTTCTCCTCCTTCGTCTTCTTCTCCTTGTCCTCCTCCTCCTTCGCCTTCGCATTCTTCGTCGCTTTCTTCTCCTTGCTCTTCTTCCTTTGTAAATTCTTCTTCTGATCACTCTCCAGCGCTTAAGGATTCGGAATCTTGGCTTGCCACGGTAGAAACTCACCAATCTTCTCCTTCGTCTGTAACGGATAAACAATCGTCTGCGGTATCGTATTGCAGGTCGCCATGTCCTTCCTACTCGGATATGTATTGGATAAGTTCTCCTTATCCAGCGTGCTCTATAACGTATATAGGTAAGACCTCTTACGAATCTACAACGAGAACACAAGGAAACGGAGAAATGTAATCAGCCGACTTGTCTAAAATACAAAGACCTATTTCTGTAGATTATCCTTGAGCCCTGTCATTTTAATTTCTTCGTAAAGTTTTCCTGGCATGTCTGTATTTAATTTTAGAAACTGAACGTTTTTTTTTTCTCTTTACAGCCAAGATGTTAAAAATTTGAGAATTCTTGTTCACCAATATAACGAGCCCCACAGTTCGCGCATGGCAATTAGTATACAACACGTGAAATCTCTTTTCTTGCGTTATTTGCCTCATTGAGCACTACGATTGAACTGAGTGAGGATAATCAGGGTCTTTCCTGTCATGCTCCGAAAAATGTCGTTTTGAAGGAGCTGTGTCATTATATATTACGTCATGAGAAAATTCTCCTAAACGAGAAAAAAATCCCACGTACATGTAACAACTTGTCAATGTAGTTAAAAAGGAAAAGATAAATCATTCATCAGTAATGAACGAAGGTTGTAACGGTTGGGCCTCTGAGTAGCGTAACAAACCGAAAAGGTGAAAACCTTAAAAGAATGGTAAATGCTGTGGCTGCTCGACGGTTAGTAA